AGTGGGACAAGAGGTATGGCTCTCTACATGTGACATTAACCTTAAAGGGTTCCCTAGAAAGCTCTCCCCCAGATTCATCGGCCCGTTTCCTGTGGAGAAAATCATCAATCCTACTGCTGTCAGACTTCGCTCACCCGCCACCATGAAGATACATCTCACCTTCCACGTCGCGCAGCTTAAACCCGTCTCCACGAGTCCCCTGAACCCACCTACCAACGCCCCACCTCCCGCCCGGCTTTTGGATAACCAACCTATCTACACGGTCTGTCGTATCTTGGATGTTCATCGCCGAGGACGTGGACATCAGTTCCTGGTGGACTGGGAAGGATATGGCCCGGAGGAGAGGTCATGGATACCCAGATCCTTCATCTTGGACCCCGAACTCATCACGACCTTTTACAGGAATCATCCGGAAAAAAGACTTTAAATCGCCAGGAGGCGATTGTTGAGGAGGGGGTTACAAAAGGGAAATGTACATTTATCCCCTTTTACTGCCAAGACGAGAGAGGAAAGACCACCTCCACACGACAGCTAGCAGGAAGGTAACACACAGCAGTCGGTACAAAGGTAGGTGTGTGTGTGCACGTGCGTTTGTGTTATATGAAATGCTTTTATGCGACTTTGTCAAGAGTTTTATGCAAAAGTAAAAACTTGTTAGCATGTATATTACAGCGTAGACTAAAGCCGAGTGACGAGCGCCCCCTCCCCCTCCTCCTGTAGAGCACCGAGAGCAGCAGAAACTCTGCCTGATAATTCATTTCGTTTTCAGTTCACTAACGTCGAGGAAAACGATCCAAACCATACAAGTAGCCCATTAATTTAAAGCCCAGACTCTGCTCTTTCCAACAATATAAGTGTCACAGCTCTACGTGAAAAACTCACAGAACAAGTAGCCACAGAATAGCGAAAAAGGCTAAATTCTGGAACCATAAACACGAACGTCTTTCCTTTGTTTTTATGGCTTTAATCCACTTTGGAGTGATTTTTTTACACTTGGCTGGACCTGTACGTCTCCTGTGTTAATGTTGGTACATGTAATATGCTAATTCTGTACTATGGAGATCATTAAGAGTCGTTGTCAGGTAAAAAAAAATCGTTCACTAACACTGTGTTGACCGTGAACCGGAAGTGTTGGGAGTGGCATCCAGTGCTGGGCTGGATGTCCGTGGCATATAGGCTATTGGGATGTACAAAAGAAATGTGCGTGGATTCAGGCGTACGCACGGTTTGATATATCTGGCGTTTTTTTGTGTGTACGCCGTTTTCTGGATTTGACCGTACGCCACGTTTCAGTAAGATATCCATGCAAGTCTTTGTACATCAGGCCCCAGTTTAATACTTAACAGTGATTACATTGACTTTATAAACTTTTATTTTAAATTGTTACATTATTTTCTAGTCAGATCACATTGAGCTAAATAAATTCAAAGCTGCTTACTTGTGTTGTGAAATGAGACGTTTTCCTGTGTCTCTTCTGTTAATAAATCCATAACACAAACAGCTTTTCTGGCATTATTTAAAACATTAGATTAGATTAACTGTAAAAAAAATTAATAAGATTGTTGTGGAATACTTATTTTCTGTATCACCTTGACACTGACCACTTGTTCCTGTTCCTGAAGATATGAAC